TCTATGTAGATAATCTTGTGATAATATTTGGATTTCATTGCAGATAATGGCAGCAATAGTAATTTCACCTATTTTTCGTAATCATATATATTAGTTTTGGGAGCTTTATTTGGTTTTAATTCTGTACAGCACCGTTGAACAAGTGAATTGTTAGACCTTAATTTATTAACCTTAACTCGCATCTGAGGGCGGTAGATATACTATATAATTTAGATTGGAAGCTATTTAAGGACTAAGAATAATGGGTTGATCCCCAAGTTGTTGAATGCTATTCTTTTTATAAAATTTTTGGGGGAAACCAATAAATGGGGTTATTTAAAACATTTTATCTTCCTCCTCATCATAAATTGGATCTAAAATTTCGAATTTTCTTTTCAAGTCAAACTGATGTTCAGATATCTACAACTTTAGATGATTATTATTTTTAGACCCATGATACATGTGCATATTATGAGCTATGCGATACAATTTTGTTTTCATGTGATAAAATTTACGATTATTCTATCAGACATTAGAGTTCAACACTTTAAGTTTAAGTTTTTCTTGTTGACTATCCAAATTATTTAGCTACTAACATTTTTTGGGGGATTACAGATGTTTTCCTAAGTGTTTATCAATGTCCTCCATAATGTGAAGTCTGCATTAATAGTATTACTTGTTTAAATTTGACTTAATTCAGTGTTTATTTTTGGGAGTAAGATATATCAAAAATTGAAGGATGGTAGAAAAGAAATCTACCATTTCGAGGAACCCATAAATGTGGAAGTAAAATTTTAACTTCTATTAATTAGATTTCTAATTTTATGGGCCTTTTCATGAATTTGATGTGATTAAATTTAATTCAATCATTTTATAAGATCATACATAAATCATGATTAGATTTAAACTAATAATTGTTTAGCTTCAAAGGAGGCGCTCTTTGGAAATATTAGTTAACAATAAATAGCAAAATCATAATTATCATTTTGCTCTTGATTCTATTGATAAGATGTTTATTTGTGGTTAATCTCAAGTAATAGCAGATATCTAAGCTCAATATTAACATTATGTTCCCAATTTATCGATTGAAATATCTATACCTGATATGATAGATTGGGGTGCCTATTTTGGAATCAGAGATTTTGAAATATTTACTGATGCGCAAAAAGTAACAGAATTGTGTAATGATCATAACATCAATCCGTTTGATGGTTGTTTTAATTTCCAATTTGATTGTAGTGAAGGATGTAGTAATTGTGTACAAGGTAATTGTTTGGAATGTTATTCTAATTGGTAGCATGATCTATATAATAATGATTGTATTCCTAAATGTGGTGATGGTATAATTGTTGGAATTGAAGAGTGCGATGATTCAAATTTAATTCCTAATGATGGTTGTCATGAGTGCTAATTCTCCTGTCCTCTGAATTGTTTATAATGTTAATTTGGTAGCTGTTTAAATTGCAATTCTTTATTTTAGTTAGTAAATAATAATTGCATCCCTGATATATTAAATTATAAAAATAAATAATAAGTAATTGAATATTTATTCACATAATTTTATTGTTAGCTGGAATGTATAGAATGTGAGAACACACATTGTATGAAATGTATGCCTGAGTGGAATTTGTTTAATTTTTAATGTGTTTAATGTGAAGCTGATGATTGTTACTTTTATGAAGCAATTTGTGGAGATGGTAAAGTAGAAGATCTAGAAGAATGTGATGATGGAAATACAATTCTATTTGATGGGTGTTATGAATGTTAATACTAATGTGAATACAGTTGCATTGAATGTGTAGAAGGAGTATGTTTAAAATTTTCAGATTTGAAAGATATAAAAATAATAGAATGTGATTTTGGATTTCATTTGATTGATCAAAATTGCCACTCTAATTGTGGAGATTAAATTGTTGTATCCGATGAAAAATGTGATGATGGCAATAATGAACCTTTTGATGGTTGTTTTTAATGCTAATATTCATGCTCACTTTATTGTTAGGATTGTTATGAAGGGTACTGTTTAGCTTGTGATATTGGATATTAATTATAGAATAATAGATGTTATGAATTATGTGGAGATGGGATTAAGTTGACTAATGAAGAGTGTGATGATGGAAATATATTGTCTTTGGACGGATGTTCCGAAAAATGTTAAATTGAAGATTTATGGAAATGTAGCACATAAGATTAAGAAAGGAGCTTATGCTTCCAATTTGACAATCCAGCTCTTTAATTACAATATATAAATATGACCTTTACTAAGTAATATATTTTAATGACATCTTCTCAACTTGTTAAATAAAGGGATAGTAACGTTAATTTGACATCAAATCTATAAACCTCAATTGTAAACGTCAATTAATTTGATTACATAATAACATTTGAAAGTTAAGTTGAACCAACTTATGAAGAATTAAAAGACATCTAATATTTGTTTACTATTGAACTGCTTAATTAACTGGAAGTTGATCTAATTTTTAATGTTTCCTTCAATATTTCTTTAGTTAATAGCTATGATTTAGAAATTATGAACAAAGAACTTAAATTAAAATTGAAAAATCCAATTGTGTTAAATGAATAATAGAAATAAGCTTCTTAAAAAGCAAGTAAATTCAACTTAATGATATTTATTATTCTTGGCATATCAAGCTTTATAATATTATTGTCAGGCAACCCTTCGGATTGTTTTGAAGTTTTAGATACTTTGTAATATTAATCTTATCTCAGATATATTAACGTAGCTTTTCCAGAAAATATTTCTATTTATTTTGAATCCTCTGAACTACTTTCAATTCAACCTTTTTTAATAACATTCAATTTATTAGAAGTATTTTAATCAGCTTTTGATTAAGAAATATTAGACTCATTTGGAAAGTTCTATTTTTATTCAATTAATGCAGATTTGCTGATTAATTTTTAGAGTCAATTTTGTTAGATTGCATTTTTGACCCTTTTAACTATTCTTTATTACGGATATGTCAAAATAAATTATAAGAGTTGTATTTCACAAAGGTAAATAATTGATCTTAGAAGGGAACATTCTATGTTCATAAGTCATATTGTGCTTATTCTTTATTAAATTCATTAATTCATCCTAAGGTTAGGTAAAATGTTTTCATTGAGTGGTTTGAAATTATGGATTTTAGCAAATAGTTGGGACATCCTTTTCAAAATTATCCTATATCTCTATTCTAAACCATAAAATTCCTTAAGGACTTAACTCTCTATACCACTTTGTATAGGGATTATGATAACCCTTTTTGCAATCGCTATATCTTATACGATTAACAATGCAAATAATAAAAAACTAAGGGATTTGAAAATGTATCGACATCATGGTTTGATTGTTATAAAAAAATTTTTATTCCTCTTTTTTTTAATTAAGGCATAAGATAACTCAATTATTTAATGTATTGCAATGGCATTAATAAATACTCTATACCTAGGATTAATTATTATTACCAATCTGTTAAAAGATAATATTGATAAAATTGTAATTTTCTGGTTTGAAATGCCAATTATTATTTTTACATTTTCAAGTGTCTCTTTTCATCCTGACTTTGCAAAACATCTTACAAATAACTAATAAATCCTGATAGGCTTTGCACAGATAATGATATTAAGTTTTGGATTGCTATCACCATTAATTAAGTATGGTTACGTTATTATAGAAAAGGCCCAAAGCACAATAATAATAAAGTGTTAGAGAATCCCTTGCCTAAAAAACACTAAAAAAGGGCATAGGAAAGGCT